GCAGAGCACTAATTCCGAGTATGAGACAACATACTTGGCCATCACGTCATTCACACTTTTTCACTTTTCCCTTTACTTGACTTTTTCACTTTATTACTCAACACAACACACAAAAACGTTTTTTTACGAAAGTATGTATATTCGAATGCAGCCTAAGAATTGTTCATTAAAGCATCCCTTATTTGTTGACTGTCAATATTTTGATATTTATATAAACTGAAAATACATTGAAGCTCTAGCAGTAGACGTTTTTATGATAAAATGCATAAAAATAAAAATGTGAGATGTTGAAGAGATGTGTTTGATGAGATTGATCATTGACAGTGTTACTTTATTTTAGTTATATTATATTTTTATTAATATTTTGAATTAGCTTTGGTTTTATATTTTCTGTTTTCAATTTAATTTTAGTTACATTTTGAGTATGTTTGTTATGTGTTTGTCATGTTTCTTAGGTTTTATTTTAAATATTAATTTAAAAAGTTTTGATTATTTTAGTTTTAATTTATTTACAGTTAGTAATTTTAGTGCTTCAACTTAAAGCGGTGACTGAGAAATTACATTTCCCTTGATCTTTTAACAAGGGTCAGAAAACATCCTGTAAGTTTCAGAACTCAAAACTTTCTTGTTAGTTCAAAAACAGCTTTCATTGAAACTAAGCTGCCAAAACGACTCATTTTGGAATGTCACATTATGACGTCATAGTGCAATGAAAGACCGCCTCTGCAGAAGAAAATCATTGTCTACTTCTACATTATTGCCTCTTCAGCCCCGCCTACTGATCGCGCATGTAGTAGAAGGAGAGGAAATTAACATTAGAAAGAGCTCCAGATCATGTCAGTGAAGCACTGTTTGTTTGCTTTTACTTTACTGCTTTTTTTTTTTAAACAAGACAGTTCGACGCAGGCTTTTCAGAGAGACTGAAAGTAAAAGATGATGCAGTGCTGAGTCTGATTATATTAGATCCAACAGTAATGTCACAACAACACATAATTGTATAGTTAGAGTAAACATGTTTATACCACTATTGCATTGTCTGTTACAGGTCCTTTGATATATACTGAGTATTTATAAGTTTTTAACCCAAATGAACCATGTTGTTTTCAGAGTATGTCACAGCAGTTTTCTATCTATTATTTTAATATGCAAAACTGTTAACCAGTCATAGCAGTGAACATTTACTTCCAAGTCTTGAATGCACCCCGCCAATAAAAACAGACTGTTCTGTGGAGAGGGTCAAAAACAGGATACAAAATAGCTTATTACTTTATTATTATGTTCTTTTTATGTAAAAGTCTTGCTAACATTATAAGTGGACCTCACAGAACATTATAAATAATAATAAAATGCAGTTCATGACCTCTTTAAACTTATTTCAGTTAGTTGGCAAGGCAAAATTTCTCATTTTTGTTTCAGTTTTCATCTATTAGTTATTTCATCTATTAGTTATTAGTCCAATGTCAGCTGCTCATCACCCAATCAGAGCCCTTAGATTAAACAAACCCATCACATGACAAGGCTCCTGAAAAGACTGTATTTGAGAGTGACCTTTCCTTTGTTACTGCTGCTGTTCCGGCGCTGGCGCTCCAAGGGACAGTAAATCACCCATATAGCCTTGTGCCAACAGACTGGAGCGGCACACGGCTCTACATTTACTTTATTACTGCAGTCAGTCCACATGCAGATGCTGGAGTTACGAGCTCACGCTGGAGACCAGGAGACGATGAAGCAGCCGGTGTTTGAGTGTGTGTGCAACAGAGTGTGTGTGTGTGTTCAGGTATTCCCTATGTTATGGGAACAAAATGTCCCCACAAAGATGGCAAAAGCCTTGTCTTTGTGGAGACATTTTTTGGTCTCCATGAGGAGAACAGCTTAAAAATCATACAGTATGACTTTTTTTTAAAAATCTAAAAATACAGATTAATATAGCATATATTAAATATAGCCGTTTTCACTCTACATCTCCCAATAATATATGTCTTAGTAAGATGATATTTAAATGCTTTGATGATCAAAACATATCATGCATGCAATATAATGATGACTGAGAGATGAACAAATAAATGTTCCTCAAAAGCCTGACCATATTTGATACTGATTTTCAAAAAAAAATTAAAATCAAGTAAAGCTAAGCTGCTTCAGTACAGGAAGTGTTCATCTTGAAATATTACTAACAATATCTAAGTTAGTTCTTATGTGACTTCATAAAAATCAGTAAAGATTTCACAGCAAAGAATGAATGAATGAATGAAGCATTTATGTAGCGCTTTATTGTGTATTGCTGATTATTTGGAGACCATGATTGACAAGGGCCAGGACACTGGGGATACACCCCTACTCTTTATGAGAAGTGCTATTTCTGCAGACTCTGTTGATCTTCTCCTTGATTCCTTAAGTTATTGAAAGTCAAGAATGTTATTGATGATATTGTTCCTGTGAAAGTCAGCAAGAAGACTGGCAGACAAAAATCAGCTTGGAGAAAATCAACAGCAGTACAGAGTATGAAAAGAGAATGCGGAAAAGCTGAGCAGATGTGGCGGAAGATGAAACTTGAAATTCACTATAGCATCTATAAAGACATGCTTTCAATGTGGAACTAGCCACAGCTAGACAGAGTTTCTTCTCAAACCTTATAAACAGTAACTTAAACAACACTCGCACTCTTTTTGCTACTGTTGAGAGACTGACAAAACCCCCCCAGCCAGATTCCCAGTGAAATGCTCTCTGACAGCAAATGGAATGAGTTTGCTTCCTTCTTTTCTGAGAAGATCATTAATATCAGGAGGGCGATTAGCATATCCTCAAGTTATGCAGAGGTCAGACAGATTCGACCGCAATATCAAAAAGAAGATACTAAGTCTATTTTTAAAGCAATTGATAGCAAAATTTTGGAAGAAATTGCGCAGCCCCTAAAATAGTCAACCTGCTATCTTGACACACTTCCCACATCTTTTTTTAAAAGGGTGCTTAACTGTTTAGAAGCAGCTCTCTTAGAAGTGGTGAACGCCTCACTTCTTTCTGGGACTTTTCCAAACTCCCTGAAAACTGCAGTTGTTAAGCCCCTTCTGATAAAGAGCAATCTTGATAACACCATTTTGAGCAATTATAGACCAATAGCAAATCTTCCTTTTATAGGCAAGAATTTTGGAAAAGGTCGTTTTTAATCAGCTGAACAAATACTTAAACTCAAGTGGATACCTGGACCATTTTCAATCTGGTTTCCGACCGCATCACAGCACAGAGACAGCGCTCATTAAGATAATAAATTATATTTGCTTGAATTCTGATTCTGGTAAAATATCAGTGCTGGTACTACTAGATTTCAGTGCTGCGTTTGACAATGTTGATCATAACATACTTCTAGAGAGACTGGAAAACTGGGTCGGGCTTTCTGGGATGGTACTCAAATGGTTCAGGTCATACTTAGAAGGGAGAGGTTATTATGCGATTATAGGAGAGCATAAGTCTAAGTGGACATCCATGATTTGTGGAGTCCCACAAGGCTCAATTCTTGCACTGCTCTTGTTTAGCCTGTAAATGCTCCCACTACATCAAATAATGAGAAAGAACCAAATTGCCTATCACAGCTATGCTGATGATACCCAGTTTTACCTAGCTTTATCGACCGTGGACGAAGCGGAGTCCAGCCCGGGGTCGTCACATGTGGTTGCCACAAGCCTGCCGCCTCTGCTCACTCTAGCCCTCCGGCCGTTCCTCACTCTAGCCCCCAGCCTCCGCTCACTCAAGGCCGCGGTGTGTGAAGCTGTGTTTTGTTGTGAAAGCGAAAATACTTTGTTTGGTCTTCCAAAAATGGACACGACTAGAAATCAGTGATTAAGTTGTATTTACAACACTGTTCCAGAACACTTCAACCCAAATATTCAGATGTTATTTTAATTTTTTATTTTATTTTTATTTTGCACATTTTATGGAGGACTGTTTCCTGATCCTGGTAGAGTAGACTACAATGCTGGCTGTTCTGACTCACAGACTTTTTGACAGGGCATCACAATATGGTAAAGGGCGTAACATTTCCGTCACACGCTTGAGGTATTCGGCCAATCACAACACACTGGATAGCTGGCCAATCACAGCACACCTCGCTTTTCAGACCGATGAGCTTTGTAAAAATCGACGCGTTTCAGAAAGGTGGGGCATAGAGGAGAAACAATAATGTACAGTATGTGGAAAATAATGTTTTTTTTTAACCTTAAACCGCATAAACACATTTCATTACACCAAATACACAAAATAATGTTCTTTTTAGCAACATCATATGACCCCTTTAAATTCATTTTAAATCATTTTCAAAGTTTTTAAATTCCTTGTTTTATTTTGGTGATTATTTTACTTTCTTTTATCTAAAGCACTTTGAATTAACATTGTGTACGAAATGTGCTATATAAATAAACTTGCCTTGTATTGCTGATTATTAGGAGACCATGATTGACAAGGGCCAGTGGAGGGAATTTGGCCAGGACACCCCCCTACTCTTTATGAGAAGTGCTATGGGGTTTTTAATGACCACAGAGAGTCAGGACCTCGGTTTAACGTCTCATCCAAAGGACGGTACTTTTTACAGTATAGTGTCCCCGTCAATATATTGGGCTGGGGCATTAGGACCCGCACAGACCACAGAGTGAGCACCCCCAGCTGGTCTCACTAACACCTTTTCCAGCAGCAACCTAGTTTTCCCAGGAGGTCTCCCTCCCATCCAGGCACTGACCAGGCTCAGCCCTGCTTAGCTTCAGTGGGCAACCAGTCTTGGGCTACATGGTGATGGTTGTGGCATGTGAAGCATGAGCTGAAGGTGGATGTTTGTACAATTATACTAAAAGAAGTTTTATTGATAAAGTATGAAAAAAAATGTTTTCTCATATTTTTTGTTTGATTTTGGGTTCGAGATATGATTCATCCAGTAATATAATGATGCAGAATCAGCATCCTCACGCGTGTGCCCTTCATACAGTGGTGATTAACACAGTGTTTGTGTCGGTTAGTTGGTGGCGTCCATCATCTTCATCAGTCTGGGTGTCGTGTCGTGTTTCCTCTGCGCCATCATCGACGGAATCATCGCCGCTGAGTTCATTGTGAGTATCTTGAGTGCTTACATGCTGCTCATGAAACTAACTCATCTCAGGATTGATACTGTCTTTCACACTGTCTCTCTTTGTGTGTAGGACAGAAGGCCACTGATGGAGGGCCGCTGTGAGTTTTACTCAAGCACTTCTTACGGCTATGACTACTACACTGAGGTGAGTTCATCTGAAGATCATCCTGCAGGAATATAAATCCACATACTGATGATTATGGGTTGGGTTAGGATTAGTAGATTAACCATCAGGTGGACTCACTGAATGATCATGTGCTCTGCTTCCCTCTGCTGGTCAGAATGAACATGACTTCAGTTTGATCTGACCATCAGAAACATAAAGCTGTCAAATTCAACATATTTGTAAAATTTGAACATATTTCTCAAATTCAGTATATTTGCTGCATATAATTATTTTTTAATTTCCATTTATTCATTTTGCAGACACTTTTATTCAACACTCATAAAAATAAAGGTTCTTTATTGACATTGATTATTCCATGAAGAACATTTAAATTCCAATACATTTTTCAATTGGACTAAAGGTTCTTTATATTGTTCTTTACAATATTAAAATGTAATCCACAGACGGCTTGTTTTGGCCACGGGAATGGGCGATTTTACCGCTTGATAAATAAAAGCAGCACGGAAAAAAAAGCTTTACATGCTCATCATCTCCTAATTAGAACCCGAAATATTTAAATATTAAGTCTGCTCTTTAAAACAAAAACAAAAAAGAAGCAATGGAACGTGAGTAGTATGTGTAAATGGGGAATCTCTGTAAATTTGTGCAGTGTGTGCATGTCAAAATATCAAATCTGATATTGAAACTTGTGACGCAAAAACGTGTAGCCAATCATTTTATTTAGCGTTTATGTAAACACTACACTTGGATTCATAAATCAGAATGATTTCATTCCGATTGAAACAGATTGAAAGTGTCGATTGTAAGCATAGACAGTGATCTGAGCTCATGCACCTCAGTTTTTGAGTAAAAAATTGTTATTTGTGGATAATTTTGGCAATATTCCACTTTTTGAGTGAAAAAAAAAACATTATTTGTGAATAATTGTGGCAATATTCAGTTTCTGAGTAAAAAAACATTCTTTACTGATAATTTTTACAATATTCAGTTAAAAACTGAGGTGAATCAGCTCAGATCAGACAAAATATCGAAATTTTGGTAAGTTATATCCTGTGTGAGCAAAGTCAGTAAGTTTTAGTCCAATGAGATAAAATTTACTTTATTCTAAAAAAAGAAAATCCTCTCCGGATTAAAATGACCGGAACACAACATGAGTGTTCACTGAAAGGGCCTTTGAGGAATCAAACCAGTTTTTTTCTTCTGTAGCATGACACTGAAAATCCTCTTTTGGAAGCTTTATTTTTAAGAGTGAAAGCAACTCCCACATCAGGAACATCTCAGTCGGCCTGTCATAAAAGTCACAATATTCATAGTTCATAATGTCAAGTTTTAAGCATAAACTAGATTAGTTCATGTGCTATATTTGTATTCATTTAACTGTATTTGACTGTGTTTATTTACTGCGATCAGGTTCACTGTAATTCCTATGGTAGTCAGTGTAAACTCAAGTTGAAGAGCAACACCTGCTACTGCTGTGACTTATTCCACTGTGACAGGTGAAGCACACACAGCAATCAATGAGCATTTACAGCTGAACTATGTGTTATTCAGCGTTTTGCTGCATGACTCTGTCTGTGTGTGTGTGTTAGGGTGGACTATCATGTGCAGTACTATGAGTTTACGGGCGTGAGAAGCTGCTGGGATGTGGTGAATCTGTATCGTCTGCTGTGGGCCTGTGTGGCGCTCAATGTGCTCGGTGTGTTTCTTGGCATCATCACCGCTGCTATACTGGGAGCCTTCAAAGACTTGGTGAGTCTGGATTCATCAGATACAAATGAAACTAGAGCGTTTGCTCATTGTTTTTAGATTGAACTACATGACAGTTGGAGTAATTGAAGATGCTGAAGCCATCAGACTCGCTCGTTTGTTTGTTTTTTGTTTTTTTACTTAAAAGTCATTTTTAACCTCAACATTGCATTGCAGTTTTAGTTGTTGGCAAGTTTGTTTTGCATATTTCAGCTGCATTCAATTTTGGTTACAAACTCATTTAGGGTTTAGTTTTAGAGAAGCACAGTCTCTTGGTAGTGACACTGCAATCACCAAAATCTATTTTATTTGATTCTGATCAGTCTGATATTGAAATCAGGTGATCAAATCTTATTTAGTTTATTATTAAATAATTTATAATTTATTCATTATTATTTTATTATTAGTTTAGTTTTAATTTAAACAGTATTTACTTTTTTTCTTTCAAGTTACAAAAGTATTAAACATTCATTCATCATTTTTTATTGGACAGCATAATGTTTTGATGGCTTATTTAGCTGATTTATTTTTTTATAAAAAATATATATAAAAAATCCCGACAGCTATTTAGATTTATAATTTCAAATATCAGCTCTCACATAACAGTGATTTTACTGTCAGTATCAAAGCTTCCACATTCATGTATTTTAATGAGTCTGTAGTTCATGTGTGTGTGTGTGTGTGTGTGTGTGTGTGTGTGTGTGTGTGTGTGTGTGTACGCTCCCACGGTTCACAGTCACATGACACCCAGTCCGGCTCCACCCCCTCACATCCTGTACAACCCCACCCAACACCTGATCACCTACACTGGTTTCTGCCCCTCCGGACAAACTCTACCCGCCTACCCAAACTACCCGCAACCCACACAGGTGAGGACCGCTAACCAACTAACCTCTCTCAGGACTGTACTCATGACAGTCAGATGATCAGGACACCAACATGACTGAATTATTACAGAAAATATTGTTCTACTACGTGATTTTGTTTGGTTTTGTTCTAGTGAGAGATTTAAATGTCAGTCCGTTTTACATTTACATATCCATTTATTCATTTAGCAAATGCTTTTATCCAAAGCAACTTACAAATGTGTAAAACAAAAAGTGATTCATCAAAAATTAGGCAAATAAACACAGGAAGTGCTCGTAATACAAAGTTTCAGACATTATTTAGAATAGTATAAGCTAGAACAGGGAAGGATTAAGAAGAAGCAGGGAAGGATTAAGAAGAAGTGAAAGCATAGTTTTGTTTTTTTAGGATGTGGTTAAATGTTGATGGAAGAGGTGAGTTTTCAGCTGTCTCTTGAATATTGCCAGGGATTCTACATTCCAAATGGGGGTGGTAAGATCATTCCACTAGTAAGGAACTGTGAATGAAAATTTTCTGGAAAGGGATTTTGTGCCTCTATGTCATGGTACCACGAGGCATCTCTCACTTACAGATCTCAGGGTTCTGGAGGGGATGTAGACTCGTAAGAGTGAGTGGAAGTAGGAGGGTGCTGAGCCAGTGGCTGTTCTATACGCAAGCATCAATGCCTTGAACTTGATGCAAGCCGCAACCAGAAGCCAGTTTAGGGTGATAAAGAGAGGTGTGACCTGGGTCCTTTTGGGTTTGTTGAAGACCAGTCGTGCTGCTGCATTCTGAATCATTTGAAGATTGCACATGATGGAAGTCCAGCCTAGAAATGACAAGCGCCTGGACAAGTTGTGCATCATGATCTTCCTGATGTTGTGCAGTGCAAACCTGCATGATCGAGCGGTTTTTGCAATGTGGTCTTTGAAGGTCAGCTGGTCATTTAAAGAGTATGTCAAGATTTCAGACCGAGCTTCATGGGGTAATTGTGGATGAACCTAGCTGGATGGTAAAATCGTGCTGTAGAGTCGAAGTGGCAGGGAAGACATGAAGCTCAGTCTTTGTCAGGTTCAGCTGCAGGTGATGTTCTTTCATTCATGCCAAGATGTCCGCCAGGCAGACTGAGATATGTGTTGCTACCATAGACTGTATAAAAACATGGACGTAGTGTCCGTGACGTCACCCGTAGGTTTCTGAAGAGTAGGTTTTTTGAAGCTCAAAGTGGGCGGAGCCTGCTGTTGCCATCTTGGCAGCGCGTCACTATAATCGAAAATGAGCAAAGAGGTGGGAGCTGGTTGCTGAAACCACGCCCACCTAGCTTGACGGGGGTCACAGCAGCGGCAATCCACCTGTCACTCAAGTGGCCATGCCCTTAATTATGCATTACTTTAAGGCTTAATATAATTTAAACGGATGAGTTATAAAAAAAATTCACCTCTCCACCTCACAGTTGTCATGAAGGGCAAAATTAGCTATATATACCAAAACCACTTTTTGTACCAGGCTGTAAAACAAATGTCTGCTGTAAAGTTGGGCATTTTAACATGGGGAGTCTATGGGACTGACTCTCTTTGGAGCCAGCCTCTAGCAGCCAGTCGATGAATTGCAGTTTTAGTCACTTCCGTGTTGGTTTCACGAGAGAGACCGGTAGGTTGCCGCTTGGTTGCTATCGTTGGATCATCTGGTTGAAATGAAAGATAAAGCTGCATGTCATCAGCATAGCAATGATAGGAAAAACTATGTGCCTGTATGATGGTTCCCAGTGATGTAGTGTATATGGAGAAGAGGAGGGGTCCAAGAACTGATCCCTGAGGAAAGATTCAAAGTGGAATTCCTGTGATGCCTAGAGAAGAGATGGTGGACAGGAGGATCTGATGATTCACAGGGCAGATAGATCCAGCATTTTGGAACCTGACTGGTTAACGTACCGCTGGTTATTCTGTGAAAGAAAAGATGATAACTGGTTAAAAACAACTCGTTCAACAAGTGTTTTTGCTATAAATGGAAGGAGAGAGACAGGTCTGTAACGCTCAACATGTGAGGTGTTTAGTGTGGGTTTTTTAGCCAGTGGTGTTACCCGAGCCTGCTTGAATGCGGTCCTGAAAATGCCTGTGAGAAGAAATTGATGTTGATGATATTTGTGAGTGCTGGTAAAAGTGTAAGGGAGATTTTTAGCAGTGGATGTGGTTGGTTTGAATTCCTGTGTGTTTGGAGCTGAACTGAATGCTGATGGTTTAGATTTTTTTCTGTGAAGAAATGAGCAAAATCTTCCACTGTTAAAGAGGTGGCAGGGGGTGGTGAAGGGGGACAAAGGAGCGAGTTGAATGTTTTGATAAGGTTTCTGAAGCACTGTTGATCTTGTTGTGGAAATATGAACTATGAAAAGTATGGACTTCTGCAGAAAACTATAAAAGCAGAGGCTGATACATACTCAGGTCAGATGGATCTTTTGATTTGCGCTATTTTCTCTCTGCTGCCCTGAGTTTGGTCCGTTGTTCACGAAGAACATCAGATAGCCAGGGGTTAGAGGGGGTAGTGCGTGCAGACCTGGAGGAGAGAGGACAGAATTGTCTAGACCAGTGTTTCCCAACCTTTTTTTAGTCGCGGCACCCTTTGGAAATTTTAACAAACTTGTGGCACCCTACAAAATAAATTTTGTCACAATATTTGAATTTCTAACTTCGATGTGATAATTTGAAAAGTATAGATATTCGGTACAACAGGGAAGAACTGCAGAATATAATGTCATACAGATATTTTTAATATTATTAAAAAATTTTGTCCATCAATGGTGGCAATCAGTAGGCTAATTTCTAATGAAGAGACCAATTTATATGACAGATTTTAATGTAGGCTTTTATTCATATGTAAACATTATTTAATTACCATTATAACTAGCTATCTCACAAATTTTTGCTCACTCAGTGTTTTTTTAATTTTACAGTGGGGTAATTTTAGTGCAGTAGCACGAGAGAGCTTGATTTAAAACTTTGAATTGAATAAAAAATTACAAGTAAGCAGTCAGTAATAAAATAAGAACAAATAAAGAAATTAATAATGATAGCACACATGTAGTAAGATGTAGATTAAATGTAATAAAGAAATGGTCAGAAATGTGCAGAAAATGTTTTACCAAAACGTTATCTTTGAAACAGCTATATGTGTAAATTAGGTCAAGCTGGTTGCCTGATTTGTGAGTATCTGTGGTGGTAAGCCATTGAGACTGAATGAGGCTAAGAGGGAGTGGGAGTCTGTAGCGCAAGGCTTCTCCAGATGAATGTTTAAGTCACCAAAGACTACAAGTGGGCTGCATCCTCAGGGAATGAGGACAGCAGGCAGCAGCACATCCAGTTTCTCTATCAAGGTGCCCAATGGACCTGGAGTGCGATAAATTACTACAATATGGGGTTTTACAGAAGCTGTTAGTGTAATATCATGAAATTCAAAGGAATTGTTATTACATAGAGAGCTAATCATAGAGAACTAATCGCTTTGTTCTATTAAGAGATTTAAATATTGGTCAGTTTTGTTTTAGTAAGAGATTTAAACATTGGTCAGTTTTGTTCTATTAAGAGATTTAAATATTGGCCGGTTTTGTTTTAGTAAGAGATTTAAACATTGGTCAGTTTTGTTCTAGTATGAGATTTAAATGTCAGTCGGTTTTGTTCCAGTAATATCAGTCAATTTTGTTCTAATAAGAGATTTAAATATAATTTGGCTTTGTTCTATTAATTAATTTAAATGGCAGTCAGTTTTGTTCTATGAAGAGATTTAAATATTGGTCGATTTTTTTTCTGTTAAAGGAGACATATTAGGCCCCTTTTTACAATATGTAATATAAGTCTCTGGTGTCCCCAGAATGTGTCTGTGAAGTTTTGTTAGTGTAATATCATGAAATTCAAAGGAATTGTTATTGCATAGAGAGCTAATCATAGAGAACTAATCGCTTTGTTCTATTAAGAGATTTAAATATCGGTCAGTTTTGTTTTAGTAAGAGATTTAAACATTGGTCAGTTTTGTTCTATTAAGAGATTTAAATATTGGCCGGTTTTGTTTTAGTAAGAGATTTAAACATTGGTCAGTTTTGTTCTAGTATGAGATTTAAATGTCAGTCGGTTTTGTTCCAGTAATATCAGTCAATTTTGTTCTAATAAGAGATTTAAATATAATTTGGCTTTGTTAATTAATTTAAATGGCAGTCAGTTTTGTTCTATGAAGAGATTTAAATATTGGTCGATTTTTTTTCTGTTAAAGGAGACATATTAGGCCCCTTTTTACAATATGTAATATAAGTCTCTGGTGTCCCCAGAATGTGTCTGTGAAGTTTCAGCTCAAAATACTCCACAGATCATTTATTATATCATTTTGAAAATGCTTATTTTGAGTGGAAGCAGAAACGCGCTGTTTTTCGGGCCTGTCTCTTTAATTGCAAATGAGCTGTTGCTCCCCGCCCCCTTTTCCAGAATAGAGCTGCGCCATTACAGCTCTTACCTGCTAAAAAAACATCTGTTTTGGTTCTGATTATCATGTTTATCGCGCTGAAATCATGCGGCCAGAAAGCGGCCACCACAGAGTAGGGATGGAATGGTATGAAAATTTCTTATCACGATTATAGTGACCAAAATGATCACGGTTATCAGTATTATCACGGTATTGTTAAAATGTGCTGGAGATGTTCAAAAAGTACTGACACACAAATCATTTCACCAAGTTTTACATTTAAAATCAACAAACAACAAATAAAATGAGTTTTTGTTTGCATAACTAAAACAATAACATTGCCAATAATGTTTGGATTTTAAATGACAACTTGACTGACAACAGTTTATCTAATAGCATGTTGAAATATCTAATGTAAATGTTCAAATAAAGCTTTGAAAAAGTTTCATAAATGGTAAACCTCACATTTCAGCTTTTAAATAAAGAAAAGGGTCAAAATGATAATTGATTAATAAATTATTATATGTATTTATCTGCTCCATAAATAATACTAGATACCTTTTTGTTTAAATGTGTAGAATCCACATAAGCTTGTTTTTCATCAACCGGTCAAAATTTACAGCAGGGCATGCAAATTCGGCCCGTTTTTTGATCTACACACCTTTCACTTTTTAAGACTAAAACAAAAGATGGCTTCATTTTTATTCTTAATTAAAAAGCATAACAACAATAAAACAGTAAGATTCAATGACAAACTAGCTTATAAAACTTTTATTAACAAAAAGTCGCGCGGTTTCGTTATGCTTTCAGTTTCGTTTGCCGCTTGATGTTTCTCACATGCAACAGAAATGCAGCGCTTATGAGTTAAACAATGCGGTGGTCGCGCCAGTGCGACCGCACACAAAATTTAGTTGCACCGGCAGAAAAAATTATCGCAAAATGCGCCCATTTGGTCGCACACTGGAGCCCTGAGCAATACAGTATTTATTTATCCTCAGTTGTTCAAATCGCTGTAATCGAATACGGTTATAGTGATAATGAAAATATGAAACGGTAATACTAACCGTAGGGTGTTTTATGACAATTTATCATCAAACCGGTAATCGTTACATCCCTACCACAGAGCATGTGAGTACTAAACTAAGTTCTCATTCACACACAAGTTTACGTTAAAAATACACATGAGTTACAAAAACAGTCGGTTATGTCTGTGAAGGTAAACTGCTGGGAAATAAATCGCATGTTTATTTTAGATCTAAATAGTGTTCTGTGCTGGTCTGTGCAGACAAAGGCAGAACAGTTAGTGTGTTTTGCTCAAACTTTCGCCATGGCATTAGAGCTGGTACACCGTTGTCGCTTGTGAAAACACAATAACGGCGCCGTGAGTGGAAACCATAGACTGTATAAAAACATGGATGTAGTGTCCCAGACGTCACCCGTAGGTTTCTGAAGAGCGGTTTTGAAGCTCAAAGTGGGCGGAGCCGGCCATCGCCATCTTGGCAGCGTGTCACCGCGCGTCACTCCCGGATAAAGGCTGATTTATACTTCTGCGCCGTAGGCTATGCGTCAGTTTTCATTTATACTGCTGCGTTGTCCGCGTCAACGTGCAGTACGCATGCAACCCGCTAGTCAGCAGTGTCCACGGCATGTTGCTGGTGTAACCCGCAGTACCACAGCAAAAGCCGAAGAAGAAGTGACTCGTCGGAGAAGCATTATCGCCGTGACGGCGACAAATAAATATCAAATCATTAAATCATTATTTAAAACTACAAAAAGGAGACAACAACGAAACAGGAGAAGATGGCATACTTTCAATCTCCACAAGGACTTGTACCAAGGCAGATCAACATTGTTTTTTTGCGGACAACTACTGATGTATAATGCTATGTAGTATAATAAATGATAAGACACTTGTTCTTTGCTTTGTTTTATTTTATATAAGAAGGAGTAACATTAAAATATATTAAAGTGCACATAAACACACAAAACTCAAGTACATATGGAGGGAGGGGTTCTTGCAGACCAATCACAGCGCTTGCGGTCTGCGTAGAATTGACGCACTGTTAGATTTTTGGAGAGGTGCACGTCAGGCTAGGGCGTATGGGTGAGCATCTATGCGTAAGCTACGGCGTAGGTCTGACGCAGAAGTATAAATTGGGCTTAATCGAAAATTGGCAAAGAGGCGGGAGCTGGTTGCTGAAACCACGCCCACCTAGCTTGACGGTGGTGACAGCAGCGGCAATCCACCTGTCACTCAAGGGGCCACGCCCTTAATTATGCATTACTTTAAGGCTTAATATAATTTAAACGGATGAGTTATAAAAAAATTCACCCCCCTCACAGTTGTCATGAAGGGCAAAATTAGCTATATAGACCAAAACCACTTTTTGTACCAGGCTGTAAACATGTTTTTTCCTGCTGTAAAGTTGGCCATTTTAACATGGGGAGTCTATGGGACTGACTCCCTTTTGGAGCCAGCCTCTAGCGGCCATTCGATGAATTGCAGTTTTAGTCACTTCCGTGTTGGCTTCAGAGAGAGACCGGAAAGGTTGCCGCTTGGTGGAAATTTACAGATTAAGGGGCGGTAATATTATAATGAGATCCCTTTGCCACGTCACCAAGGGAGCGAAATCAGACGCGCTCGGTTTTTCAAACGCGTGCAGAAAAAGGCTTACCAAAACAAAGTTACTGGGTTAATCTTTTTCACGTTTCTTTGGTTGGTAGATGCACCGGGGACCTGATTATAGCACTTAAAACCTGGAAAAGTCAGACTGTGGTTCAAAGTTACTTTTGTCATAGTAAAGATTTCATATGGTCCACCTTGAAGTAGTTTAAACAAACAGCTGCTAGAAAGTCTACACATAATGCTTTAAATCTAGTCATTTCTGATGTTCTTTTTTTTCTTTGTCCTCATCCTGCAGCATCTGAATGGTTATCCAGCTCCGGCCACAGGCCAGTCCATTCTTGAGGTCTCGACCTCCACGCCTGACGAGACTCAAGCGGCTGCTCAGAGCGGGATGAACTCAGCCGTTTCGACTCAATCCATGTCTCAGGACAGCAGCGGCTACATGCTGACTCCAAACGCTCCCTCACTCTATGCTCACTCATTAGGGCCCTTCGAGAAGCCTCCACCCTACGCCTGCTGAAAACATTTGAATCAAGAACACTGACCTCTGATGGGCCCCTGACCCTCTGACCTCTGCTGCTGGCGCTGCTAATGACCCCAGATAGAGTCTCTGTAATTGTGAATTATTCTCGTAGCAAATGTGATCAATGTTGTTCTCTGGTAGTTTCCAAAACCTCTGAATTTGAGCTTTTAACATCCTCTTCCTTCAGTGGGATCTTCATAGTTTGATTTATTGAATCATATCAGGCTGAAACACTCGATTACAAAAACTCGAGCTCCATTTCATGCGCATGGATTACATGCTTTAGTCTTTTGCTGTCAGATCAGCTATTGTCACGATGAAGGATCAATCTGTGGAGATTCTTGCTGAGAAAGTGTTGGCATGTTTATCCTGAATAACACATATGTGACCCTGGACCACAAAACCAGTCATAAGGGTCAGTTTTTCGAAATTAAGATTTATACACCATCTGAAAGCTGAATAAATAAGCTTTCCAGTCATGTATGGTTTGTTAGGATAGGACAATATTTGGCCGAGATACAATTATTTGAAAATCTGAAATCTGAGGGTGCAAAAAAATCAAAATATTGAGAAAATCGCCTTTAAAGTTGTCCAAATGAAGTTCTTAGCAATGCATATTACTAATCAAAAATTTCATTTTAATATTTACAAAATATCTTCATGGAACATGATCTTTACTTAATATCCTAATGATTTTTGGCATAAAAGTCAAATCAATCATTTTGACCCATACAATGTATTTTTGGCTATTGCTACAAATGTCCCCCAGCGACTGGTTTTGTGCTCCAGGGTCACATATGGTTTAATAACAGAAGCTCTACTACCTAACTACAAATTCAGTTCTTATGTAATTCAACAACGCACATGATCCAGTGGTTAGATTCACAAAACTTTATTAATTAAAAAAATTCCTAACTGCTACATTCGTCTTGAAAAACAAAAGAATATTTAAGTTAGGATTTTTTTTTTTTGCATCACTGTTTATTTTTAAGAGTGACAGTTCTTAAAGCAAAACTTTAGAATTAAAATTCTTGATGAATGTTATTAAAAAGCATACATTCATAAGTTGATAACCGTCAACTTGTCTTAAATCTTCATAAGAATGATTAATTTATTTGGGTATTTTGAAATACTAAACATATGGCAGCATAACTCTAACTACATGTACACGACTATTGCCAGATTTTACTTTCATGATATACCATGCAAATTCTCCTGTTAGTCATATGTAACTCTCACATTTTACATTGAAAAATGAAGTGCTTGCTGCTTAAAAAGAGTAAATAGATGAATATATGGTTAAAATGTACAAGTTTAAAGTTTTAAATATATTGTATTAGACAAGGCAATAATATAGTATATCAAAGCTTGTTTTATAATCAAGAAAAATACGTTCTTAACCCTTTCATCTTATGAACATTTCTGTAAGTAACTAATAAATTAAGCTGCTATGCTTTTAAGGCTTTTTTTTTTTAAAGCATTTAATCATGAACTATTCGTTTGAACTCTTCAGAATAAGTCCATTATTTAATGGCACTGGAGTTTGCTTTGTCATGCACTTTTGAAATGCATAAACTTGAAAACACAATGTGAAAATTCAATGAACAATTGTCCTATAGATTTCAGCAATTTACATTGTCCAAGTGTTTACACAAGGCCACCACTTTTTACCTAACAAAATTAATTTGCTATTTCATTATTTTAACCTTAGACAAAATTCAGTATTTTCACAAAATAGAATGTTTCCTTTAAACTGCAAAAAAGAACTGGTGTTTGTTCTTTTTAAATATTCAAACGAGGCATCATCTAATTAAATGTACATTAATTTGCATACATTACCAGAACATAAATCTAAACATTGGATAAAGCCAGGATCAAAACTCTTTGATTTGGTTGACATATTAAAGGTTTTTTCCAGAGGGGATTATGGTTTTCTCTTTTTATTGCTCCATAAATCAGAAAATACTGTCAACAGACAGAAAACATACATTTTCACCATGTTTTTATAAATCAGAATGAGTGTGAATGATATATAAATGCCTCAAACGACTTTAGAATATAGATTGGAATAAAACTGAAGTTTGGTGTGAGATAAAGATATGGAATGGAGTTCAAATCTACAGACACTAATAGATAAAGTGCAATAAACACTTTGTATGGTCTGAAAGAAGGCGCGTTATGGATGCAAACTAGACAACAAACAACAACTGGTTTTGCTTGTAGTGTCGTGCCTTAATGTTTTTGTGATTTAAGTGTTTTTGCACTAGCGTCGTGCGCTTCTGGCCTTTGCAGCTCAAAATATCAGCGTAAAGTAATACTCATCAGGTTTTTGTTTCTGTGAGCCGCTGAATATCTGTGGACTTCAAGGACAGAATTCATCATCATAACAACACCATCCACCTTTATTAGTTTTCATCAAGCATTTCAGTCTCACACACACAGAGCAAACATGAACGAAATACAAAACAACTTCAACAATAAAAACAAGTTTAAAAAAGACAAACTCAAACGAGGGACTAGAAAAACTCCAACTCAAACTACTCGATGATGATGATGATGAAGTTGAGCACCTACATTGAGGCCTGAAGGCCTTTAATGGTAGCTGGGTGTTTTTATTCCTCCTCCTCTAAAGCATTTTACAGTGGCATATGTACAGTTACAGTATTTTACAGCACACTCTCAGTAGCTTGTGTTTGATTGGTCTAATGTGAGTAATACATTGATACGCGGGTCTGTGCTATATGTGCATGATGTGAGTGTGGCAAGGGATCTGGCTTTACTAAGGCCTTTGTCGATCCATTGACTGGATCCAGATTAAAGCTCCTCCTGCAGTGGAAAGCACTTCGCTGGAGTTTCAGCTGCTGTTATTGCTGTGCATCTACCAGAGGGCAGGAGTGAGAGCGGATGTCGTTGTGTTTGTGTTGGGCCTCGTCCACGTCCAGCAGCTGACCGTTGACCCGCACGTCCATGCAGCCCGTGTAGAAGGCTGACACTGGAGTGGACACTACAGAAACATCTGCACAAACAAACATCATCAGGAACAGATCGACATATAAACCATCTGTAGGTTCACTCAGAGCCATAATTCACATTCACCAGAGGCTGAACAAATCAGCTTTGGTCAGCAAATAAAACACTAAAGCACTGGGCAGTTAGCTGGTCACATTATAAGGAACTGCACAGTGAAGTAAGAGTGATTTGAGGTTCAAATCCAATCAGTCACGTTTTAAGATCATTTGCAGATCCTTTTACAGTTCTTTCGGAGAAAATAAGCCACAGCTGAGCTGAATTTACGTTGCACTGGGTCAAAATTTGCATTGGTGAGAGAAAAACAAAACATTATCATATTTTATTATTACATTCAGAAATAATGTAAAATACCGGAAAATAAAAAGAGATTATTTCAAACATTACAAACATGTATTTTAGTTCCTCTCACTCCACAACAAATCTTTAAATTTAACTGTATTTAACTGTAAACGTAAATTATAGAGACATTCATTATAAACAACATTTGTAATGAACGGCAAGCCTAAACAATTTTTTCAAAGCAATACTGAAACTTCTGGCATGTGGGAAATATGTTATGCAAATCATCTTAAGCTCATGTGCCTCTCTAAATCAACACCAACACAAATGTTTTGTGTGCGCTTGATGTTAATTGCATTATATCTCATAGCATGTTTCAGATCATAAAAAAACATGGCTTATTAAAATTGCCAGATTTTTCAGAAAAAGTTTTAAACAGCAAAATTAGCATATTAGCTTGCGGTTACACTGTACACTTTTCTAATTTTATTGGCGTTTCTGATGCAAGATTATCATAGGAAACTAAAACAACAAGACAAACTAATAGTAAATAAATAGTAAAGATCTAACAAACAAAACTAAAACTAACAAATAACTTACTAGAGACTGATGTAAACTGAAGTGAGACTAACGTAAGACTTAAATGAGACTAATATGAAAATAAGAGACTAATGTGAGACTGAAGTGAGACTAATATGAGACTAAAAGTGAGAATAATGTAAGACTGAAATGAGACTAATGTGAGACTAAAGGTGAGACTAATGTGAGACTGAAGAGAGACTAATGTAAGACTGAAATGACACTAATATGAGACTAAAAGTGAGACTAATATGAGACTGAAGACAGACTAATGTAAGACTGAAATGAGACTAATATGAGAATAAAGGTGAGACTAATGTGAGACTGAAGAGAGACTAAAAGTGAGACTAATGTGAGACTGAAGAGAGACTCATGTAAGACTGAAATTAGACTTATATGAGACTAAAAGTGATACTAATATGAGACTAAATATGAGACTAATATGAGACTAATGTAAGACTGAAATGACACTAATATGAGACTAAAAGTGAGACTAATGTGAGACTGAAATGAGACTAATATGAGACTAATGTGAGACTGAAATTAGACTAATATGAGACTAAAAGTGAGACTAATGAGAGACTGAAATTAGACTAATATGAGACTAAAAGTGAGACTAATATGAGACTAATGTGAGACTGAAGAGACTAATGTAAGACTGAAATGACACTAATATGAGACTAAAAGTGAGACTAATGTGAGACTGAAATGAGACTAATATGAGACTAATGTAAAACTGAAATGACACTAATATGAGACTAAAAGTGAGACTATTGAGACAAAAAGTGAGACTAATGTAAGACTAAAATGAGACTAATATGAGACTAAAGGTGAGACTACTGTGAGACTGAAGAGAGACTCATGTAAGACTGAAATGAGACTAATATGAGACTAAAAGTGAGAATAATGTAATTCGAAAGTGAAAGCACCTGAAGCCCGGCTTATAAAATAGCAAAAGAGGAATTCCCGTTCACAAAATTCAAATTACAAATAATACTACTGATGAAAAAGAACGGGTTGAATGTTAACTAATTTCGTTTCCATATAACTATAAACTACAATGAAAGTTAGTCACAAAAGAGCGACCAGTGGGAAGAATGAGTCTGGAGCCCTGAACTAAACAGACATTTGCACACAGCAAAATTATTAAAATTTTAACTAAAATGAAAATGAAAATAGGAAATCTAAAAAATTAAAATAAAAAAATGCTTCATGGTTTAAAAAAATGGTTTCATCAACCACCCAATAAAACCACAATATGTTAACTGAAACTAAACTATTTAAAATAAAAAATGCTAAATATTAGATGACAAACTTAAAAGAAAATTAGAAATGTTGCCTTGGGAACAAACTAAAATATAGTTGAAGTACTAAAATTACTCAAACGAAATAAAAATAAATTAAAGCTAAATAATAATTAGGGCTGCCACTAATGACTATTTTTATTTCGATTAATCTATTGACTAATTTATCGATTAATCTTAACAATTAATTTCCCACAAAAAATCAACAATTTCACTTCAAGAATATTTTATTAAACTATATTTTATTAAACCAAATGAAATCCTTTTTTTAAAGCAAAAGTAAAGTGCAACAAAGAGTGCAAGCAGCAAGTGTCCATCTCATAGTCCAAATTACTGAAATCAAAGTTCAGTATTATAGTGTAAGTATAACAACATATCCACGTGTTCTAGTCTACTAATAATACAATTATTTAAAAAAAACCGCTTATTAAAAGAGTATTTACCAGAAATGTTATTTACCAGAATTTATTTAGGAGAAAAACGTAAATGTGCAGTATTTCTGAAAAGAAAAAGAAAAAAAAACTACTTAAAGAAAAAAATAAATTAATTGGAGATGCTTTTGATTATTAAAATTTAATGGAACCATTAAAATGGAATCCAGAAAATAATGGAAAACAGAATTTGGTAAAGATAAAACTGTAAATCTCAATTAATTAGACAAGCTTTTTGATTAATACAATTTAATTTAACCATTAAAACAGAGTATAGAAAAATGAAAATGGAAAAAAATGAATTTGGAAATAAAACGGATTTCATAGGGCCCTATAATTATAATTAATTTATTTGTAGTAATAAAAATAGATGTAAGTAAACAATAGCCTTTAAAATTACTTAAATACATATATAATAGCAATGAGGCAATAATAATTAGTTCAAATAAAGTATCAAAAGTAGGGATGGAACGATTCACTCAACTCACGATTCGATTCGATTCACGATTTTGATTTCACGATTCGATTCACGATTATTATAATTTTTTTTAACAAAATAAGATTTAAGACAAATTATAAATTAAATGTGTACTTTTTTTATTGCTTGGACAAAATGCTGCACATTTCTTTGTGAAATTGAAATACAACACTATAATAATATACTAATATAGCACTTGCATATTACTGCTCTTTTGTTAGTTTTGATTGCTTCTATTGTCCTCATTTGTAAATCGCTTTGGATAAAAGTGTCTGCTAAATTACAAAATTTAAATATAATGTAAATGTAAATAACAAAACTACATTGAAATTTTAAAACAAGCCCCAAATCAAATAAATAAGTAACACAAATAAAATAAATATCTTCAAATAAACAAAATAAGGCTTTGTCTGTGCTCTTTCCTTTTAAAATTAGAGGCAACCACTGCATTTTAATCATGATCCAAACAGAGATGCTGCATACATGCAACATGAGCAGTTTTTAAACTAAATTAGATTGTATAATTTCGAAATTTGAAGCAAAAACAGAATGGTTTGACTTCAGTTTTGTGAAACTATAAATAAAAATTCACAGACGCAGATTCACTCTCTGCCAGCAGGTGGCACTTAAAGCGTTTCCTGGTTTCCGCTGTAATCAAAGCAGCGCTGCACTTATGAACTTTAATATGCATCATACAGAGGCAAGACGAAAAGAAAAAATACCATCTAAACTTTTCTAAAGACAGTAAGTTCCCCTCAGACATACATTCATATAAACTCCTACCCCTAATTGAATCGCGATTCGTTTAGCATCTCAACCGATTTGAATCGTCACATATTTGAATCGATTTTCAACCGGTAATACAATTATTTAAAAAAAACCGCTTATTAAAAGAGTATTTACCAGAAATGTTATTTACCAGAATTTATTTAGGAGAAAAACGTAAATGTGCAGTATTTCTGAAAAGAAAAAGAAAAAAAAACTACTTAAAGAAAAAAATAAATTAATTGGAGATGCTTTTGATTATTAAAATTTAATGGAACCATTAAAATGGAATCCAGAAAATAATGGAAAACAGAATTTGGTAAAGATAAAACTGTAAATCTCAATTAATTAGACAAGCTTTTTGATTAATACAATTTAATTTAACCATTAAAACAGAGTATAGAAAAATGAAAATGGAAAAAAATGAATTTGGAAATAAAACGGATTTCATAGGGCCCTATAATTATAATTAATTTATTTGTAGTAATAAAAATAGATGTAAGTAAACAATAGCCTTTAAAATTACTTAAATACATATATAATAGCAATGAGGCAATAATAATTAGTTCAAATAAAGTATCAAAAGTAGGGATGGAACGATTCACTCAACTCACGATTCGATTCGATTCACGATTTTGATTTCACGATTCGATTCGATTCACGATTATTATAATTTATTTTAACAAAATGAGATTTAAGAAAAATTATAAATTAAATGTGTACTTTTATTATTGCTTGGACAAAATGCTGCACATTTCTTTGTGAAATTGAAATACAACACTATAATAATATACTAATATAGCACTTGCATATTACTGCTCTTTTGTTAGTTTTGATTGCTTCTATTGTCCTCATTTGTAAATCGCTTTGGATAAAAGCGTCTGCTAAATTACAAAATTTAAATATAATGTAAATGTAAATAACAAAACTACATTGAAATTTTAAAACAAGCCCCAAATCAAATAAATAAGTAACACAAATAAAATAAATATCTTCAAATAAACAAAATAAGGCTTTGTCTGTGCTCTTTCCTTTTAAAATTAGAGGCAACCACTGCATTTTAATCATGATCCAAACAGAGATGCTGCATACATGCAACATGAGCAGTTTTTAAACTAAATTAGATTGTATAATTTCGAAATTTGAAGCAAAAACAGAATGGTTTGACTTCAGTTTTGTGAAACTATAAATAAAAATTCACAGACGCAGATTCACTCTCTGCCAGCAGGTGGCACTTAAAGCGTTTCCTGGTTTCCGCTGTAAACAAAGCAGCGCTGCACTTATGAACTTTAATATGCATCATACAGAGGCAAGACGAAAAGAAAAAATACCATCTAAACTTTTCTAAAGACAGTAAGTTCCCCTCAGACATACATTCATATAAACTCCTACCCCTAATTGAATCGCGATTCGTTTAGCATCTCAACCGATTTGAATCGTCACATATTTGAATCGATTTTCAACCGGCTCGCAGTTAATCGTTACATCCCTAATCAAAAGCAAGAAATCATATGGTTTTATTGAACAAAATTGTTAAAATACATAATGTTTTATAAACAATAGAGCTAATGTACATTACACATTACAACACAGGCCTACAGAGGGCGCCAACAGCCTGGCGATTGTTTTTACACATTGCTGTGCGATCTAATACTTGTTTAATATTGACCAAGCACCATTTAATTCAAATGTCCACTTAATCTTTAATATTTGGCCATTTCTTTAGGACATAAATGCTATAGCAGCTGTAATTAAAAGAATATGTGGACATCAAAACATGTAAACTCAGAGTGAGGGTTTGAGCTTTTATTTTGAAACCGCGATGTATTCTCCTGTGTTTGCGTAGATTTATAAATGATTTATCTCACAAATCTGATGAAATGGCGCATGTTGCGTTCCCAGACGAACGTTATAATAAACCCAAACTCACAACAACATGCAGAGATGGAGTTTGAAATGTAAATGATAACAGTTCCTGTGGAACTACTGTGAACAGAGCCGCTGTGTGACGCACGTACTTAACCTACACGCATGTAAATAATTAAAGCGCATATACTGTATTAGAACTGCATCGCATATAATTATTTAATTAAATCGTAGCGTTTGTGAATTCACAATTATGCTTAATTATGCGCCACTTCCGGTATTTTGCCGGTTAGTCGACGCGAGCAAAATGAAGTCGAGGATTTAAAAAAATCGAATAGTCGAATAAAATCGACGAATCGCGACAGCCTTAATAAAAAAATTTAAAAAAAGAAATAAATATAATAATGATGACTAAAGAAATGATCAAAATCAATGAAAATATAAAAATAAAACCTAATTCAAAATATGAACATATATTGCAATGGCATATAAATCGTACTAAAACCCCACTGACACACCATGGCTGTGGTTGAAGTAGGCGAATCCGAGCCCGGGATAGAAGGCGCTGTGGTCCTCGATGGCGTAACACTGCATGCGCTCGTTGTGCCGGATGGTTTCCTGAATAGACGTGTCCTCACCGGTTAACCAGCGCCAGTCCTTCATACAGCCGTCCAGTCGAGGGTTAACCTATGTCAAACACCAGGATCATGAACACATAAAGAGACAGAGCATGTTCAGATGAGCACCGTGTATATGACGTTTGTTTATCTATTTCAATTCTGCAGAACTAATTAAACTGCTCAGTTTCTACACTAATGGATTAGAGCTCATGAAGCTCACCCTGCTGACCAGGCCGTCGTCTCTGAAGGGAACGCCGCCCACCGTGAGGTTGAGCTCATGTAAGCCTTTATTCAGTGTGAACAGATCTCCGTTCACTGCGATCTTCATCACCGCCTCCCTGTCAATCTTGATGATGAGGCTCCGCCCCTGTTCCTCAACTGAGATCTGAGTGGACCAATGAGGAGAGAGTCGAGTTGCATTTGTTTCTATAGCAGTTTTTACAACACAGATCGTTTCAAAGCAGCTTTACAGTAATAAACAGGAAAATAACAGTTTTAATGTTGTAAAATTTTAAAAATAAGAGAGAATAGAATTGTGAGATGTTGCTAGCCCAGTGGTTCTTAATCCTGGTCCTGGGGACACACCCAGTTCAGTTCACAGAGCTTTCTCCTAATGAATCAGATGCGTAAAATAAGGGAGAACCACAGTGCTAGCCAAACTCAAACCTGCATCTCACATGAGCTCAATGTGTCATGTGTGAACTGCTCTGTGTCTCAATCGTGTGTGTTGTTTAGCGTGACCCCTGCAGTGACCTCTGACCTTATGCCACTGGCCATCATTGACCTGCGGTCCACTGCTGGTCACTCGACTCACGGCTCCGTATTTCAGCTGCAGCTCCAGCTTCCCATGATGCATCACCAGAACAATCCAGGAGCTGTTCAAGTGGCCGCCGGCAAAGAAGATCACACCTTCGGGGTCGTAGGTCCTAAGTGAGATCTTAAAATCATAATCTTCAATATGAATGATTGAAGTACAGTAATTAATAACATTATAAATGTCTCTACTGTCACTTTTTATCAATTTAATGGGTCCTTGCTTAGTGAAAGTATTAATTTATTTTTCTTCAAAAAAAATTTTTTTTATGTAAATGTGTTTGTGGTCCAAAGGCCACGTGGAAAATATGGGATTTAAAGTCTATTTAAAACCTGGACATCTTTCAGACTGAGCTGTAACTAATCAAATGTAAGTTAATGAGTGTCTCTGATCACGTGACTCTTTATACAGTCA